CCAAACTGGTTGGTGTAGGTAAATGAAAAATTAAATGCATTCTGGCATATGTGCAACTTATTTGTGCATGCTTAAATTATATACTTCAATACATTGTGCATTGAAACTACACAGGTGTTATTGCACTCCAATCAATGGAGATTTGGAGCATGCAGCATTACATTATCACTTCAAAAGCCAGTCAGAAGATTTATGGCATCAATTCATTGAGTCATGATCACATCATAAACTTTGACCAGCATCATCCTCACATTAAAGTTGGGATATTCTGTCCACAACCATAGAACATCAAAGAACAGACGTCTCTCAGGTCTTTATGCAAAATATCTGAGATTCTTCCTGCAGCCAACACAGGCTGATTTTGATTGCAAGCCTAAAACTTTCCACCTGACTTAAACAAAACCACCCATTCTTTCCTGCCTCTTTTGCCTGTCTTCATTTATCTATTGGCTAAAGACTTACTCAGCACTGACTGGCTGACTTTCCTCCCTCTCTCGCTGGTCTTAACTCTTCTGCTAATGTAACCTGAGATTACTGTTGTTAAAACAGAACAAGTGGGTCATTTACTGTTCCTATCAAAGGCACCTGGCTCAGAGACAAACTGCAGTCAATGCCGGGTTTGTTCTAATTCTTTTCAATCACTACCTGATTGTGGGAGCAGTTAAGAGGCACATCTGATAGAAGGGGTTTGGTAACCCATTTTAACTACTGAGGAGGAGGAAAAATAGTGAGTTTTATAGAAAAGGGATCAGAACTGCCAACCCATCAACAAACAGATGCAGATAAAGGCCAAAACGTCATTAACGGTCACAGGCAGTTGTACTGATAGCTTAGCATGTCTCTAACCTAACAATACTCTGATAAGCATGAAAACAGAGCACACTAAAATAGTTTTCAGGATTAAAAGGAGAAAAACCTTCTGATAAACTTTTTTTCTTGCTTTATTTGTCATCTTGGATTTCTTTTTTTGTCTGGCAGAATGCATTCTAGGATCATAATTTGGCAGTAATGGAATTGTATTCTACATTCGATTTTAGAGAGAGCAATGTATTGGCCAGGTCAATTAATCATGTTTTTGGTCAGTTTGTAATAAATTGACCAGTTAACAGCGTGTCATTTTGCCTGGTGTCACTTCCAATATCTACCGATCGCTATTATCATCATTAAATATTATACATTCTCGGTTTTCAAATATTTGTACTAAATTTTGAGTAAATATATAAAATGTGTAAAACATTAAGTGCAAACAAATGCAATAATTCAGCGATAAATTTATACATTTATAAAAGATGCATAAATTTAAGATGTACAGATTAATTCATTTATGCATCTTACATAAATGTATGCATTATAGATGAACTATTAGTTATTTATTATGCATTATGAGAAATTATTATACATTATTAATAATAAATATAGAAAAATAAATAAATACATAGATTTGGCCAAAAAAAGGCATCTTAGAAATAAAAAGAAATAAATACATATATTTGGCCAAAAAAAGGCATCTTGGAAATAAAAATACATGTATGCAAGAAAAACAGATAAATTAATACAAAATTTGGCCAAAATGAGGCATCTTAAAAAGTAAAAAAAAATAGTGCAACATGTATAAATAAATTTATGCAAGATAAATAAATAAGTATATTTGGCCGAAACGAGGCATCTTAGAAGGTAAAATAATTATGCTGCCAATGTTTTGGAACAGGCTTTGTGTTGGGAAAGTGCCTATGGTGCAGAGTGATTAGTTCTGTACTTCTTCCAAGAATTTAGGAGTATTTTTTGGAGGTGCCCCATGTAAGGATTTTTACATTGCTTAACGTATAACGGTCTTTATGCAGTGAAATACTACTCCATGTCCCATCTCTGGAGCAGATGGGGTGTCTGTCTATGAGCCAGAGGGGTGCTTGACGATGACTTACTGCAGCAAAGCCTTAGCTTAGCCTTTCCACAATACTGTCCGCATTCCATCGGCGATGTTTGATGCCGATCCAAGAGTTCAGCATGCAAGTCCTGCTTTTTGTTGGCTAGCACCATGTGTGCTAATCCTTTCTAAGTTGGCAGGTTTGTGACAGCATAATGCAAGATACCTTGATACCTCCTTGTTTATGAAAGAATGCATTAGTAGGACAGTATGCATCCTTTCAATAAAGTTTCAGCACAATTAATATATCAAGAATGATTGCATTATGAAAGACAACAACAAGAAGAACATGGCAAGAGACATGGCAAGTCTCACCTTTTGTGGCCGTGCTGGAAGAATGAAAGTATGTCAATCAAATTGACCTGCTTTAACAGTTAAAACAAAAAAGCCACAAACATTTTCCACTTTCAAGCACTAACAAAGGCCTCCATTCTGAAATAAAGTGGGTCATTTTTAATAAAGCCATCTTAAAGGCACCATCTAAATGTCAGGATATGTAAGGATCTGTTGAGCTTTTCATGGTTTAATGTCTATTCTTGCCCTTGAAATCTTCTCGCAGATAACATCGCAGAAACAATGTAGCCTTCATAATATACAAGCTGCCATCAAGCAGGTCCATTTGTTAATGAAATGAAGATGCGTGCCATGAAAACAGCCCTTAGGTTTGCAGTAGATACAGGAGAAAGGCGCTGGACCCAGACTAACACCCAATGGCATTATCAGCTTAGAGGTCATTCTTGGTGCTAAGGAGATGAGATGGAGAAAGGAAGTTGCAGGAGAGCTCAACGCAGCCATATAGCAAAACCTCTTTTCACCCAGTGCGACACACCTCCCAAGAGCATGTGGGGTTTTTCAAGTGCTAAGAGCATTAATGCTTTTATTCGGACACACGAACAATCCTGTCTGGGCGTGCAGGCTGAACGAAAAGAGACTTTCTGAAAGATTCTGGAGGATGAACGCACTGGAGCCTGAGCTGAAGCCCATTCAAATAAATTTTGTTTTGCTCAGTGTGAAATTACAACTGGCAAGGACACAGTCAGTCAATTAATCTGCATGTTAAGAGGGCATGATATTACTGCTGCTCTCCAAAGATCTTATTTTAGATCCTGCTTGTATTTATATACAGATTGCAATGCATCATCATTACGTGTCAACAAGCCATAACTTGGCAGTAATGAGATTAGTACATTTCTACAGTAGATTTCAGAAATATATAATTTAATACGAGTGATAGAGAAAAACATTGGCCGGGTCAATTAACAGAAGTGCATTATTCAGCCTCATATCACTGCCAAAATCTATAGCCATTGCCAATATATATATTATACATTTTCTGTTTTAAAATATAATTGTAGTGAATTTTGAGTACAAAATTTTTTAAATAAGTGTATAATTTAAAAAAAAAAGAAAATAAGTGTTAACAAATTCAGCAATATACATGTATTAATATATTTTTTATATTTATATTAAATAAATATATAAAGGGGAAGTCGTGGCCTAATGGTTAGAGAGTCGGACTCGTAACCCAATAGAAAGGGTTAAATGCAGAGCACTAATTCCGAGTATGGGTAACCATACTTGGCCACATGTCACGTCACTTAATGTATTTTGATGCATATATTTTGAATGTAAAAAAAATAGTAAGGGTAAATAAATTTAGCAATAGCAATATATACACATTTAAATGTGTATACACATACATATGTATATATATATATATATATATATATATATATATGTATGTCAATTCAGATGCCCAAAATGAACAAAAATATGCAATTTGGTGCAGTGGCTGATATTTGTATGCCCAAAAAGTAAGATTAAATTCTCATACATTTACATAAAATGCATATAAATATCAGTTGTCACTCTATATCTCTCAATAATGTCTTAGTAAGATTATATTTAAATGGTTAGCTCTGCAGTTTCAGAACATATTCAGTACAATTATGACTGAGAGATTAACAAATAAATGTTCCTCAAAAGGATAATATTTGATATTTACAGTATGTGTGTATATATATATATATATGCACTGAAAAACAGGAAAAAAACACATATACATAAATACTCTTTTGTTTGGGTGGAGTACTTTTAGCCTTGACCTGTTTGAGGCCATTGCCATTTTTTACAATAACACAATACAGAATTGCACAATACACAACAACAACAAATGTCTCTAAATACGTAATGGAAATACAAGTTAATCAACATTCCTTTCCTTAGGTCAACATAATCCATAAAATGTTGCTGGATCACCTGGCAGCTCATGAAAACTATGTTGAACAGCTTCAGGTTTATGACCCATAAAGCAGCTATGTGACGTGCCTTCTTTTTGTATGTGAGCATTTAAATAGGTGCTTCAATATAAAAATGAGGAAGCTAATCTAACTGGTACCGGATTCATGAAAATTTTCTCAAGAAAGTATTTTAGAACTTCTTAAGAACTTTTCAAGAACTTTGGAACATTCTTATAAACTTATCTTTCAAACAATTCTTAACTTCTTCCTTAAGAACATCTTATTTTTTTATTTCTGAAGAAAATTACAGGTGTTTTTTTCTGCTACATTGCAGATTACGTAATAATCATAAAAAGAGCGGACACTATTTTTGTTGCGATTTGGTGTCATGTTTTATAAAGCACTGTATTTTTTAAAAGTTATTTTTAAAGAGCCTGTTGCAAGATGGAGCGATTTGTTGCATGTAGAGAATGCTGCCGAAAATTGTTGTAATTATAAAATTAAAAACAAATTAAAATTAAAAACAAGTTGTTACTGAATTTCGAATTCTGCAGTCATGTCACACATAATCATGATCATTTTTGTTTACATAATCGGTCATTGGTGTTACTTTTGAGTACTTAAGCACATTACTAGTTAAAGTGATATATGTAGCTTGTGTTATGTTGTAATGAATGTAACAGCTTACGCTACGCCTACGACATCCGCTGGAATGCCACACTCTCGTGAACATGCGTACGACAGCGGAAGCTAGAGATTACGGTTTATACATTTTTTAATATGGATATTTTTCTTACACAAACACTTTGCTTTGCTTCAGAAGGCCCCCCCCCCTTACTAACCAGAAATCAACAACCAGTTTGCAAACAGGTAAACCAAACCACCTGTTCTCAGTGTCTGAACTACAAGAGGGTTCGACTGATCCTGACAGGTGCTGTGCATATTGGGAAATGGATCATCTCTTGCAGTAGAGTTAACAGCTTAGCCATCTGGGAGAGTGGCACGTGCCTCCTGTTTGAACATATCCCGTTATATCCAACAAACAAGATACAAAGTGTCTGCTGTGGTATCACAGTACACCATAAACAAAACGGTACTTTAGTTAAGCTGGTAAACCTATTATGGGGGTGCCGTCAGGAGACACAATAAAAGTAGTCGCAGAGACGTGACTAATAGCATGTTGCAAGGTAACAAAAAATGTTGTATAGTTTTAGTTATACATAGTTATATAGTTATCTGTCATAGATATATTTTTTTATTTATTCATTTATATATTTATTAAACTTATATATATATATATATGTGTGTGTGTGTGTGTGTGTATATATATATATATATATATATACACACACACACATATATTAGTGCTGTCATTCGATTAAAAAAAGTTCACTAATTAATCGCACATTTTTCTGAAATTAATCGCGATTAATCCCACCTAACATTAAAGTTTTTAAATATACTTTTATATTGCAATAATTTCACATTCAATCTTCAAAATAATGCAGAAACAACATAAAGACAGTATAATATTTGTTTAATGGCATCTTTTTTATGACTGAAGGCGAGTATCACTGATACCAATACTACTGATGTCTCTATGAAATTGTTGTTTTTCCCTAATATTTAACCATTGACTATAGCCATTCAGCATTACAAGCTATCAATTTGAACATTTATTAGAATTTAAAAAAATAACAACTTCCAATTTAAGTGAACTTAAAACAATCTTCACATGAACCCATTACAATAAATGTCATATTTACCTGTGCCCTGCAGCAAGAAGGAAAAATACAGAAATTGAATAAAGTTATCAAACACTAAATTCTAAATATAGTTGAATCCTTAAAGCTATAAAAGTTATTGATTTCCTCATTTTTTCTTTTGCTCTGTGATTAACAGACATCACAACAGCTGGGTTATTAGGTTATTTTGGCTGCTATTACTTTAAGAGCTGCCGCTGCTGAACATGACTGAACATCTGACACGCATCGTATTTTCTCACAACTCTTTACCTTTTCTGGCATGCTTCAGGTCTTAAAGTCTCTACTAATGAGCCGACGAGTTAAATTGGGTTTGTTAGATGAGGGAGACAGTTCTGGGCTGCTCCAGGACAGTTTTGAAAACCATTGCATTTCAGAGACATGTTTTTAAATGTGACTCATATATAACAAACACTTACATACATGCACAGTTTTAAGGCAGATTTAATCGCCTTTTTAGTAACTTCATGACTTAACTGACGACATAACTACGACATTGCATGCTCATAGTTTCATTTGCGCTTTAATATGAAATGATATACAGCGCGCGCAACTGCATTTGTGTGAGCAATTGAAGAGCATGTGCTATGAGCACAGTATAACGGCTGACAGGACAGGAAAATTTGTTTTTACTGACATGTGACCTGACAACATCTCATCTGACCGCAGTTCACTGTTGTTCTGCTGATGCTCCGTCGTCACCTGTACCTTTTCCACGCTCGTTTGACTAGCGCCTGAGGTGAAGTTGGAGTGCGCATCTGAAAAGTCTCCCATTTGATGTGGTTGTAAAGACGTTCTGCGTCTAAATAAATGCAATTCTTCTCAAGAAAAAAAAAAAGAGACAGAAGCAGCAGTTGTGAGTGGGGTGGCCAACCTTAGCTCCACCCCTGCGTTAATTGTGTTAAATATTTTTAAAGCGTTAAACTGAAAAATAATTAAATCGCATGCGTTAACGTGCCAATTTCGACAGCACTAATATATATGTGTGTGTGTGTGTGTGTGTATGTAATAGAATAATAAATAATAATAATTAAATTAAAACATTTTAAAGAAATAAAAAGCTACACCACTTTGAAAGCAGCTGAAGTACTGTCACAGTACTTAATAAAGTAGTTAAGTTGGTAGTATGGCTATTTTTAATTAGTTAATCCCCAACACTGTCTGTGAGTCCATTAGAGGCTCCACTGACCTTTGAGATGAGCTCATCGTGATTGGCGAGATGTGCCCGGCAGTGGATGCAGCTGTAGGTTCGGTGACAGTTGGGCAGGTAGGCCTGGAAGGTCTTGGACTTTGTCATTTTTACCATCTCACAGTCGTGATGCTCCTCACTGGGTTCCTCTGGGCTGGCGCTAGACGAGTTGCAGCTCTGCTGAACTTGCTGACAGAAGAAACACTGGAAGATGCAAGCAAAAGCCGTCGTTGTTGTGGAGTGGATGTGTGGCACGCTCCACACAGACACCACAGGAGAAAATACAACCTGGAAAAAAAGGGAAAGGAAAAGGAAAATGCCTTTTTATTATAGTGCACAAGTTATATGTACCACTTTTATGATACTTTTGCATCCTTTTTGAAGCTTGAAACTGCATGGAAAGACTAACCATTAAATGACATTTTCCATTTGTAGGTTGAACCTATATATGCATTTAGCAGATACTTTTATCCAAAGTGTTGGACAATTGCATTCAATACATCTTTATTTAACATAAAAATCTTTAACATTTCCTGGGGATCAAACCATGTCCTTGGTGTGTTGCTAGTGCCATGCTTAACTTGTATGAACTATTTCTATATAGCATGAAACATTAGTCCCAGAATTGCAAGAATACTTAGCAAATGAGCAGCTGAAATCAGATAAAAGCAAAAGAAAACAAGCAGCAGTTGTGAGTGGGGTGGCCAACCTTAGCTCCACCCCTGCGTTAATTGTGTTAAATATTTTTAAAGCGTTAAACTGAAAAATAATTAAATCGCATGCGTTAACGTGCCAATTTCGACAGCACTAATATATATGTGTGTGTGTGTGTGTGTGTATGTAATAGAATAATAAATAATAATAATTAAATTAAAACATTTTAAAGAAATAAAAAGCTACACCACTTTGAAAGCAGCTGAAGTACTGTCACAGTACTTAATAAAGTAGTTAAGTTGGTAGTATGGCTATTTTTAATTAGTTAATCCCCAACACTGTCTGTGAGTCCATTAGAGGCTCCACTGACCTTTGAGATGAGCTCATCGTGATTGGCGAGATGTGCCCGGCAGTGGATGCAGCTGTAGGTTCGGTGACAGTTGGGCAGGTAGGCCTGGAAGGTCTTGGACTTTGTCATTTTTACCATCTCACAGTCGTGATGCTCCTCACTGGGTTCCTCTGGGCTGGCGCTAGACGAGTTGCAGCTCTGCTGAACTTGCTGACAGAAGAAACACTGGAAGATGCAAGCGAAAGCCGTCGTTGTTGTGGAGTGGATGTGTGGCACGCTCCACACAGACACCACAGGAGAAAATACAACCTGGAAAAAAAGGGAAAGGAAAAGGAAAATGCCTTTTTATTATAGTGCACAAGTTATATGTACCACTTTTATGATACTTTTGCATCCTTTTTGAAGCTTGAAACTGCATGGAAAGACTAACCATTAAATGACATTTTCCATTTGTAGGTTGAACCTATATATGCATTTAGCAGATACTTTTATCCAAAGTGTTGGACAATTGCATTCAATACATCTTTATTTAACATAAAAATCTTTAACATTTCCTGGGGATCAAACCATGTCCTTGGTGTGTTGCTAGTGCCATGCTTAACTTGTATTAACTATTTCTATATAGCATGAAACATTAGTCCCAGAATTGCAAGAATACTTAGCAAATGAGCAGCTGAAATCAGATAAAAGCAAAAGAAAACAATCATTTAATTTCCTCTTCACCCTTGACACCTTAAGCCGATCAGCCTGTGAGGCGTTGTGTGCCTGATGAAGTGTGAATAATAACGATTTTCCCTCCAGTGAATACCACATATTTAAGATTCACTTTTAGCCAACAACAGTTGTTTAAGCATGTCAAAAATGGCAGCTGGTTGCCCTGTGCACCAAGAAGACCGAGCTAAGCTTTATTGCCACTGTGGGAAATCCAGTGTCTATTAGACAATGACATTCAAATCATCTTGCTTAACCAGGCCAGACTGTCCCTTATTACAGAGCCAAAATAATACTAACGCAATGAATTACTTGTGGAAGGCTGCACTTATTTCAATAGCAACGATTTTGACTACAGCCTGTCCTTTGATTATCATGCAATATTACCAAATACTTTAGATCAGGGGTGCCCAAACTCGGTCCTGGAGGGCCAGTGTCCTGCAGAGTTTAGCTCCAACTTGCCTCAACACACCTGCTGGGAAGTTTCTAGTATGCCTATGTAACGGAGGCCAGCGAGTAAGTGCTGTGCAGGTAAACCTCACTCCCCTGATCTCAAGAGACGCACTAGCGACTGACGCTAGTGGCTGCAGTCATTTAGCCTCCTTGTTAGTGCATCCGCCTCCCATGCCCGGACACCCGGGTTCAAGACCCACTCGGACCAAGAACGAGGTGGGGCGGTGAGGACCCGCGGGAGAGGGGTTACACCTAGTAAGAGCTTGATTAGCTGGTTCAGGTGTGTTTAATTGGGGCTGGAGTCAAACTCTGCAGGACAGCGGCCCTCCAAGACTGAATTTGAGCACCCCTGCTTTAGATAAAGGGTATTAAGGGACTTTGAAAATTACCATATTACCATGTGATACCACTTTGCCATGGTACCTTTTTAGGAACATGATTCTAAGGCATTCTCACACTTGAAGACGGATGCTGTTTGAGACACTGGTAGATTTTAACATGTGCCTTTTCTAATTGCCATCTCTTTTTGGCATTCATCTTTCCATATTTCACATACTGTTCGCACAGACAATCAGAAAATAACAGGAAACTCTGTATACTGTGCTAATGAGAAGGCAACAACACTGTATGCAATAGAAAAACAGACACTTTGCAATAGCACAGGAAGCTCCAACCATGCCGACCAACAAAGCACGCGAGCTTTTGTGGCGCCAAGTGTTGCCAGAGCTTGCTAAAACAAGCAACATGCTCTGACTTACCCAACCAAAATAAGCATGGAGAAGCAACCCCATGTTGCTTTCGATTTGCATAAAACATCCATTACACAACGTAAAATTAATCTCGATGCTAAAAAAAAGCAGTCTGACTATCCACTTCTACAAATATCTCTCGTGCACACACGCAAAAACAGATTCTGAGAAAAGCAGAAACGGGGAATGAAAGGAATTGGGCTGCTTTTAATTATTATATAATATACTGCGATTCGCACGGCAGGTGAGAATATTTGTCATCTGGTATTAGTGGTCGATCATACGTCATTGTGCTATGAAGACCATGCTCTTATATTCATCATCATTATTAATAAGTCCTCAAAACTACCCATAATTATAAGCGACTTTACGTAAACACGTAAAGCACAAAGTCGCGTATAATAAGTGGAGATGGCAACACTGTTGCGTGTTCATGAAGGAAATGTGGCACGCGTATCGGTGGAAATGAGAACTTGTTTACCTGTAAACATCATATCTGTGGATATGCAATATGTATGATGACTTTTTACCACTTGCAAATCTATTCATTATATAAAAGTGCAAGCATAAAAGCTGGAGATTATTACCAATATTTAACGTTTTTAGCACGAACTATATTGTGTAAACAAAAATAACCACATTATGTGATGCGCAAATAACAAGTCGAGCATGTTTTTAAAAAGATATGTTGATTTGAAACCACCCACTTATATAACACTGTTCAATCTGTTAAACAGTTAGTTAAATTACTGGGAACAAAAGAAGAAATGAAATAAAACCCGAGGACGGTGAATCTGAAGGAAGATCAACAGCAGACAAACAAAGGAGGTTCAGGAGCGCGTGTTAACCTGAGAGGATAAGACTAATCATGAGCATTAAGGCTTAAGAAAAACAATAATAGCTATAACAAATCTAGCTATTTAAGAGCTCGAATAGCCACGTTAAGCTACTAATCACTTATAAAATAGCAATAAGCAGGTCACTTATTCCGTGCAATTTAAGCATTCATTTGTCTCTTTGGTTTTACTTCGCTGCAAAGGGACAAACAACTAAAGCAAGATGTTCATAAAAGCAATTCAGCGCGCCAACAATAGGCTACCAGTTACAAAAGGTGCAAATTGGTTGTTGTCAGCGGGATCTTTTAGAGAAAACAACAAAGAAACTGCAACCAACGTGGATACAAAACAAAGACTCGTGCTTTGTGACAAAACCAGGAAGCGCTGAGTGACACAGAGACTACATTTGAGCCTTGATATCTGCAAACACCAATGTCAACGTTAAATTGTATGATTCATGCAATCAAAATACCATATTTGAGTTTTATTCCGTATAATTAACATTTATAAATCGCGTGCATGCATCCGGCTCCACATTTTTTTCCACTGACAGACGAGAGATTTAGAAAGGAATGGTTTTGAGCTAATTTACTAACAAGCGTTCTAAAACAATAATCATGTTTTCACATGGCAAATATATGAGTATCTTAGCTTGAAATGAACGTAAAGTCTCAACTTACCACCTGAACCGGATCTCAATGCGAAGTTTGGCATAGATTTTCTATAGGGAAGCTGAAGCAATTTTTTTTTTTCCAGAGTACACTTTGTGATATTTTACATTTTTTTTGGTTTCGGTTGTCTTGTCTCGGTACAGATTCCGTCTGAGACCTCAGACTGAGACCATCTGTCAGTTTTGTGTGTCGGTTAGGCTGTACATTTCTCTAGTCTTTGTTGCTCTCTTTGTGATAGACTTGCTGTTTTGTGAGTGGGCGGGGCGTCGCGTTACTGGCGTGTGAAGCATCCAATTGATGGTTTGCGGGGGCGGGGCTACCAGCCATGCGTAAATAATCCCGGATGTGTAAACAAATACAATGCAATTTAACGATTATATAGGTTAAGATGATGATTTCATCGGTTTCGTGTTTTGCATTATGTCCCCTACAAGAGCTACATGCATAAAGAATAACAAATCAAAGAAGAACTGAAATGTTTTAGATTTTAAAAACGATTAGTAAAAATCAACAATTTAGTATTCGTTACATAGTTGAGCGTCTTGCATTATAATATGTAGTTATTATAATCCTAGCTACTTTCAGCCATATAATGTCACTGGTTCCTTTTTATAATAATACACCCACAAAGACCACATGCAAATCATGGCAACACATCAAGTCATTTAGAGCAATATTGCTTAATAAATGGTTTGGTGTTCATATAGAGGTAGGTTTCACAGCCTGACAGCACTAAAGAAATGGTCCCATCTTTATGCGCCAGAGAGCATCTGCTACGCCTTATAAATAATAAGTGAAGAGACTGCCTAAAATAAACCAGCCCAGTGTTTTGTGCGCAACTATAACGCCAGATGCAATGCAGAACGTTAAAACTTCCTTAGTCTACATTGACATGAATGTCATTGACATCATATTCGTTGACAGTTCACAGATAAATAACTAATTACCTATTGAAACAGATAGACCGACGCAGTGTTCCGACGATGATCAATAATATTGATCAATAGTTTCAAACGCGAACAGGAGGGCGTGAATTCGTGAAGTCTTCGGCTAAATAAGGAAGCCTGTCGCGATGATGTCATATGTTTTCATTCTGAGTCCCATTTTATAACTCCGCAGCATAAAGCTTTTATTACCCGTCTCACATAACAAAATAAAAATAAAGACTGTTGTGTTTGA